AGCAGCAGGCACAGCAGCGAGATCACCAGCCCCACCTTGGTGATGACGTCCAGGGTCCAGTCCTGTGCCGGGGGTGGGGTGGGGTGAGGGGGTTAGTCAGGGCTCCCCCCACAAGGCAGCAGCCAGGCCGGGCTTTAGGGTACAGCCGGACTAGCCTGTCGGCCTCGCTCTGCACCAGGGCTGGGAGAGCCCCCTAGTGGCGACACCAGGCAGAAGCGACAGAAAGTGCGAGGGGCTGGGGCTGTTCCCCGGAGCAGAGAGCAGAGCGCCCCCGCCTGGCGGGAGGGAGCCCCTGCCCAGGAGGGAGCTGCTTTCAGACCAGACGGACGCGCTTGTGGCTAAGGTGCTGCAGCTCAGGACTCCTGGGTTCTACCAGCTCTGGGAGGGGAGCAGGGTCTGGGGGTCAGAGCAGGGGGCTGGGGGTCAGGACTCCTGGGTTCAATTCCCAGCTCTGATGTCACCTCCCTGAGTCTCCTTAAGTGAGGCATTTAACCCCTCCCTGCCTCCGTGCGATGGGGACGGGGAGGGCTCCCTGCAATGCAATGGGGTGAGCCCCCTGCCCCCCAGCTTCCTGGGCAGGCATGTCAGTTGTGGCTACCTGGGGAGTCTCCCTGTGCCCTGGGGACGGAGGGGGGCTGCTTGTGCTCCATATCAGATGCAGGGCCCCGCCTGCCGGTGGGGAATGGGTTTACTCCAGGGGGATCTGGAGTGACTCCTGCTCCGCTGGGTATGATTGAGGGGAAGAACAGAACCAGACCAGCCCCAGGCCCCAGCGAGGGCCGCACCTACCTCCACCTCGTAGAAGGCCATGAGCACGGCGAAGCTGGTCAGGTGGTTGCACTGGCAGCGGGTGATGTTGGTGGTCAAGTTCTGCAGGGTGCAGCCGTGGGTGGCCCAGCGCCTGCTGTCAGGCTCCCAGTAGGCGCAGAGGAGGCGCAGGTCAGCCTTGGACTCCTGGGGACAGAGAGACACTTGGTGCATGGGGGGGCAGGAGCGGGGTGGGGGGCTGGCTGGGGCCGCACAGGGGGCAGGACTCCCCAGGCCCCAAGAGGGCAGGTCGGGGGGCTACAAGGGGCTGGGTTTGGCTGGGTGCACAGAGCATCAGTTTGTCCCTGTGTGGGAGGCGGATTCACCTGCTGACCCGGGTGGGGGGTGTTACTAGAGATGGGCCCAGCTCTCCCCCCAGCGCCCTAGGCTCTCCTCCCCCCATGCTCAGCCCAGGGGCTCACCGGCACTGGGTGGCTGAAGCGGATGCTGACGGAGAGGCCGAGTGCCTGGGGGTTCGGGTCACTGATGAAGGCCGACACCACCGGAGAGAGCACACGGTAGCTGGGCCGCCCGGGCTCCTGCGCCTGCTTCCTGGTCTGGCCGATCTCGTCCCACTCGGGCGCCTCCACCTGCCCAGCACCCTCCAGGATGGGGCTCATCCCCTGGTATGTCAGCAGCCCGGCCAGCGTGAAGCCTGTGAGAGACAGAGGAGACGGATGAAATGGGGGGGCAGGAGGGGTCCAGGGGCAGACTGGTCCCAGGGGTGCTGTGCTGCTGGGGGTGCTGCCCCCAATGCCCTGGCCATGCCCCATCCCCCTACACACCCCAGCCTGGCGCTAGGGGGTGCTCTGCTGCTACTCCCAATGCCCTGGCCGTGCCCATTGCTATACACACCCCAGCACAGGCGATGATCACATACCTTCATTTTCCTGCCCTGGGGCTCTGG